ACTCGCCAGACTTCCCGCTCCTCCGGTTCTTCTTCTTTCCTCTCCCGATGCTCTTCTCACTGTCACCGCCGCCGGCTGCCCCCTCCCGCCCGTCCTTGCCGCTCATGACCGCGGAGCCCGCGGAACCTTCCCCGGCCCCCGCGCCGCCACCGCCGGCCCACAACACCCCCTTCCCCCCCGTGCTGCCGCCGCCGCCCCCGGCTGCAGCGCCCCCCGCGGGAGCGCCACTTGCGTTAGCTCCCGACCCCGCGAAAGACGCCGATCCCGCTGCGCCCCCCGCTGTGGTAGTGATCCCGCTCCCCGCACCCCCCCCGGCTGATGTTGCGGTGCCTCTGCGGAGGTGCGCCGGAGCCGAGGAAGAGTTGGATGAGTTCGTCGCGGCGGCGGCGGCGGCAGCGGCGCCGGAACCGGCGGCGACTCCGCCGTTGTTGCCGCCGTTGGAGTGTTGCTGCTGCTGCTGCTGCTGCTGCTGCTGCTGCTGCTGCTGCTGCGAGGAGGCGGCTGTGGTGGAGTGCGGAAGTCGACGCTGCATGCACTTGGCGGATCTGAGAGGGGGGGATTGGAGGGGTGGAGGTTCATCATCAGAGATAGGTAGAGACAGACAGACAGACAGAGTGACTGACAGACAGACAGACAGACAGACAGGTCTACAGGCGTACAGCACACAAGTTCATCGGTCAGGCGGTGAGCGCGGTCGATGCAAACAAGACACACACACACAGAGACACCAACCAGCCCCTATAATAGCACCACTAAGGACCGCACTACTATTGAAGGATACCCCTCCCCTGCGTGCGGTACTCACTTGTGAATCTTGAACCCGAAGATGAGGGGGGTGTAGCTAGACCTAGCAGGGTCCGGCACGAGCCTGTCGAACGTGATGAAGAACAGGTGTGCAAAGGAGGTGCCGAAGAATGCGCCATCCAACGCTGCAGAAGAAAAGAAAAAAAAGGGGAAAAAAAATAGAAATTAGCCGGCCAAGCAGCTGGTTACTCTCCCGTTCACTGCAAAGACTCCCAATACATACCCTTCGACTGCTGCGGTATTACCTCGAAAGGGAAGTCTCTCTGTAGTACTACACATTGTGATGCAAAAAAAGGAGCCAACAGAAAAGACAATACCCAAGCCAGCAGAAATGTCACAACCCTGTGAAAGTGTAAAGTTTCGACACACCTGAAAACATAGTGAAATTATCCCAAGCATGGAAACAAAGCGCGAGTTCGCACGCCATAAGTTGAGATACCAGGAGCAAACACTACTTGGAGGTGGCGTTATGTTTTGCGGCCATTCATATCCAGCTGGTAGGTTGGATGGATGGACCCTTCAGCGTAGTCTCCGCCCCCCCCCTCCTGTCCGGGGACCCGTGTGCATACCGGTGTTCGCCAGAAGAAAAAAAAAACACACGAACGCTAAATGGAACCAGCAGTCTGGTCGCCGGTCAGCTGGAGAGCGAGCACTTCGAACAAAAGCAATAACCGAACAACACATGTCAACCGATCGACATGGCTTCCATGGCTTCCATGGACCGGCCGCTACGCGAAGGACACAGTGAAAACGCGGCGAGATTGGCGTCTTCGCCGTAATCAACCAATTGGGAGGAGGGTATCCAAAAGTGGCAATCAACTGTGAACAAAAGGGAAAAGTCGAACACGGCCGGGAAAAAGCCTCATAAGTGCTGCAGTACGAGGGTTCATCGGGCGAGTTAGGTGCAGTTTCAAAACCAGAAGGGGCAACAAAAAAATTGAAACGAGTGACTGAATCAACGTCTTGCCAGCATCTACGTCATTTGCAGAACCGAGCATACCTTCCTTGCGCGGTAATAGGCGGAAAAAAACTTGAATACGCCAAAAGGGAAACCACAATGTAACCATATCGGAGTGACTACACTGCGTCGCCGGGGAAAACAAGAAAGGGGTAAAAAACGGTGTTCGTAGATAAAATTGCTTGCTGGAGGTGTGTTGATGGTATATTTGCGTCCTGTGGGAGGTGAGAGAGGGAATTGGCGCGGATGGGTGTCATGTCACTCACGTTCACCACCGTAGGGACTGACGGTGTTGTAAACGTCGCAGCACCGCGGGCAGTAGAGTTTCACCGCCTCCTTCTTCGGTTCGTCGAAAATGCCCACCTGTTCGGATTCGGAGGGGAGAAACAGAAACGACAGAAATAGACATGACAGATAAGCACAGGGGCAGGCAGGCAGGCAGGCAGACAGACAGACACACAGACAGACACACAGACTAGACACAGAAACACAGACGGACAGAAAGACGTCAATGTGTTGAAACCAAACACTCATGAATGGAAGAAAACACGGGACCTTCTGAAAACGTACAACTTAAGCACATGCTAGTCGGCATAATACAGAAGCAAAACTTCCGTGTGCAGTAGGCGCCCCCGGGCAACACGTTGCTCGTTGAGCACAAGCGCCACAAACCCAACGCAGGGCATCAGAAAGCAGAGGAAGTGACGTGATCATCGTGTGCCAAGCGCTACACTCGTGGACGCATCACACTCATAATTCGAAGCGATTTTCGCGTGCAGTCTCCCTTACCGGCACAACCGGTTGGTTCTTGCACATGGTCCTTGGACATCTCCCGAACTCTGCCAGGCGGTACTTCTTGTACTGCACAAAAAAAATAACAGGGCCATGGGCGGGGAGGGGGGAGGGGCGGGTCACTCCTTGAGGAATACACAAAAAGTCAAACGAAGTGGCACATCTTTGAGGAACGCTGCCTCTTTCGGACGATGCCGTAAAGAAATAAAATCGAGGGGTGTGGGGTGGGGTGGGGGGCACTTCATTCGGATACAAAAAAGATGCGGAACCTCTCCGGATGAGATGCTGTTCTCGAGGCCTTTCCAGCTTTGGGTGGGACACCTCGGCTAGTCTTGTCTTGGAGACGACCTTCGCTTCCCCGTCACTGTTTGGGAAAAAAAAACTGTTGTGGTTCCTAATGGATTGTTTCATAGCACCTTAAATCATTGAGTGTTACCAACGTTTGGCGAACAAGGCCAACACATAGTTGTACCAATTGAATCTACAGTAGGTGGACCAAGCCACCTGCTACTAGTGCTCACGCCAATGGCGTGGACCACGCCCGTCCGACAAGACATCAAACCAACAACAACGTTATTTAGCACAAGCAACAACAGACGACGAGACGAACGACCTGCGTCACGCTACAACACACCATCGCTTCGAGGCCCCTTGCGGTGACGATGAAGCGAGCGTGAATCATGCCGTAGAGCATGAAGGCCGACTGAGCCACCACCGGGTCTTGGGGTTCATCCGCAGCTTCAAACAACGAAGAAAACGTGCACCGTAGAGAAAAAAAGAAAAAAAAAGTTGTCATGTTTTTTCCATGCACCAACCCAATGATCTGTCTCACGACGTAGGCTTCAAAGAGAAGGTAAGGTATTGTGAACAGAGGTGTGTATGACGACACGCGTTGCAACGAGGGCCCATGAAACGTATCAGAGGCGGCTGCGTCTGGGGGTGCTGTTGGACATGGCGAGAAAACGAGAGTCAGCGATGCGGAATAAGCGAATGTGGAGATCAACAGCCTAAGAGGGTTGTTCCTTACCAGTTCGGTCCAGGATGATGTCCAGGCAGCCCTGGAAATTGGCGAAGTGGTGCCGCAGGCCGTACAGGTTGAACCCATCCTCGATGTAGCTTCTGTCCACCTCGCACAACATACCTGAAACAAGTTCATACGGCGTACATCGCAATGGAACGCCACAAAAGGCTGGTTTTCTTCCCACTCGCTGCAAAGAAATCAACACGTCCCTTCGAATGCGGTACTTTCTCGAACGGCCGTCTCTCTATTGATTGTATGTAATTTTCTCAAAAAAGAGATAGGAGAGCATGGAGCTTACAGACGCAGCCTGTGGTGCGCCAGATATGTTGCATGGCGAATGCCATCGGAAGTAGCACTGAAACCAGATGTTGCTCGGCACACATGTGGCATGAGCCAGCATCCGGTAGATGGACGAAATGGGATACACAAGTGTAAGACGGCACTACAGCACCGACATGTATAGTCAAGAGCGGCGTCTACCTGCCGCAGAAGGGGTGGGCTGAGAGGGTACAAGACTATGCCCACCCCCTTCACTTTTCTTGTTTTTCTTCCTGCACAAGGTGGATCTCGATCATCCCCGAGCGACCATAAACGTAGCGGGTCCCTTTTCTCTATTATCATTGCTAAGCGATCCATTCGCTGCAATGTTTTCATCATCTGGTGGATTATTCTTTCCCTTGGAGGTGCTGATTTCTGTCTGCTGTGTCCTTAATAGGGGCCATCTTCCCTCGATCGCAACCCCCTGCATGAGCTTGGCTCCCTTCGGCACTCCTCCCCCGCCCCCCTCCTGCAACACCCTCGCGGAAACATCCATCTTTCATCAGTCGTATCGCGCTTTGCGACGCGCCGGCAACCGACGCGATATACCAGTCCATAGGGTTGGGTGGGAAAACGGGTCCGCTTAATGCAGTCACTCCGCCCTCCCAGAGGCTAGCGGCGAGGTCTGCACGTGAGCCGCGCGAGACCCAAGCAAATAGCGCTTCCGGATCTTGTCGACTGTCCAGGGCAGTCTGCAGAGTCGCCGATGCTCTGCCCGCGCCTCTGTGGCATGTCCTAGCTTAAGCGCTTCGAGCCTTTGGCAGATCAGTCTAGATCGTCGCCAGAGAGTGGCCGATGCTCCTCAAAATGGCTTGCCGTAGGTCCGGTAAAACCCGCTTCGTTCCTTCGCGCCATCCACACCCTATACGCCGAGGAGCAAACGCTGAGAGGATACCCAAATAGGGGAACATCGTCGCGTCCAGAGTAACCTATCTGCCTTCTCTCTTGCCTCCCTCCCAAAGGCGGCGGAACCTCCCTCGTAGCAGCGATCTGCCGATGCACCGATCTGCTGCGTGTTCGGCGATACTGCTGCAGCAACATCTGGGAGAGCGCTTTCCTGTCAGGCCAGCTTCCTTCGCGCAGACGCCTTGACTTGCGTCACGCGCGCGTAGATCCGGTGGCGTACGACCAACCCCAACTCGAACCCAGCCGTTCCGCCCATCAGTGCTACGCGTGAACCGGTAGGATCCTTCCGCCGAAAGCCTCAGGTGGCATGGACGTACCATAGATGCTTCTCAATGGCTACGCGTGCGCTTTAGCTGTGGGCGGGAAACCAGCCAGTCTTTGGGGGAGAGTGACGAAACGGTGCAGAGGCGTCGAACGCTTCCGAACCGCATCGGCATGTTTCTTCCCGTTCCATGGGCTACAAGAGCTCGTGAACCTCTCCATACACGCAATCGGGGCACGGCAGAATCCTTCCAGGAAAATTATTTGCAAGAGTCAGCAACCACCAGTCAGACTCCTATACAAGCACACACTACCTCTTTGGCCTCCGTGACGCGCATTCCCGGGAAGTTTTTCCACCGCGCGTCTGATACTGACGTGTTTTCCCCCCATGACTTTCGCTACGTCGCGTGCTCCTAAGTGCACCGGATGGGATGGTGCGGCGTGAGGCCAAGCCAGAACGTCTCCTGTTTTCGCGGGTGCGTTTGTTGGACTACGACAACGGCAGAGTGCCTGATCTTCGTCTCTGGCCCTCTCCATTACTTGCTTCTGCTCTCCTCTGGGACGGCTTGTGCGCCTTCTTCTGCGGGTGTGCGTCCTAACTGGCATCGACCATGCTAGGCGACTGACTAGCGAGACACGCGTCGTCCCACCGTAGGTAACATGACACAAGATACCACATCCCCTGGACCGATTTTCAAAGCGCGATTACTCCACGAGGAATAGCACTATTATAGTACTACGTCAAACTCGCAAAACACGTTATCGGAAAGCTCTCCACGATACGGTCCCAACGCCGCCATCTTCGGCACCGTTTCCGCTCTTTCTACGGAGAAATCGAGCTTTGGAAAATCGGTCCAGGGGGTGTGACGTCTTACGCAACCTACCGCAAGTGTGTGCCCGTGGACAAGATGCTTCCTTGAATTATTCTTCCAAAACGGTGCGCCCACGTCTTTGGCTACATTTATGGCAGCAGGCGAAGAGTGATGTGGAAGAGGACAAGAGAGCAAGTACGCACAGCCTCTGCTGCTGCCGCACCCGCGCTGCACGCATGACCTCGAGGTACGGCCACGGTTAAGCACACAACCTAATCATACGCGAGCGCGCAAGATAATCACCATCACGATGGAAACTCGAGGTCGGTTCATCACCACATCTCTTCTGGACGTAGATTTTTCCGCCCTTCGGTATTATGTTTGGGTGGCACCAGCCGGGGTCGCCAGCAGGAAGGCCACAGAGGGATTTTGTCCATTTTCTACACCTGCTGCAGAAATATTCAGCCTTGCACTTTCCCTCGTCGGGCGTTGAGTTTGAATATTGTGCACACACGAAATCGTTGCCGATCGAATCGTTTGGGGTTTTGTAACTCGAGAAAAAGCATGCCGGTCTTCTTTGTGGCTTCGACGAGAATCGATTTCACATCGAAACGTTGCGAAAGTTGTACTACCAAATGGCCCCGGGTTTGAACCGGAAAAATGCGGAGTGGTGGGCGTGAAGCACAGCAGAGGTATCGAGTGTCTCCCTGAGTTTATCGCTGGTCGACTACGGTTCTACTGCTGTTCCCTGAGCCGTGACCAAACAGACTCTTTCAAAAGACGCTGTGCGGCGGCTCAAAAGACAGGAGGGGTAACGGCCCGCTATGAGGATATACAAAAGTGGCACGCACGTACGATTCTCTACAACAGGCCATTGGTGGGGGACTCAGGGGTCGAACACCGCCGTGATTGGCCAACCGGGAAACATAAGAAGAGGGTGTTCATGCTCGGAGAAGCGGAGATTGGCTATCCCGCGAAGAAACAATCGCGACAACGAAGAGAGATTGGTTTTTGGAAAAAGGAAAAGGCCCCGAGATCGAGACTGCTGTGCACTGCGCACCTCTCTTTGCACCCTACCACGACCTGACCTCATGTTGGCAGTTCCCTGACTGGGCCGAACGCGATTGGCGCACTGGTCGGGCGGATAGAAACTACACGCTTTTTCCGCTGCTGGGAAGCTGTAATCAATTGCATTCCGCTTCTGTGCGCCATCTCAACTTTTCGCGCCTGCTGGTGGCTCTCGCTTCTTGTTCTCACAGAATGAATGTGAGGTGCGGTCGAGAGCCAATTGCAGGTGGTGTGCCAAAGAGACTAGGGGACAACCCAATTTCATGGTTGCCAAAGGGCAACACACCGAGGATGAGGTGCGGGAAAAGCGGCTGATGGTTAGGTCCTGTGTGCATGCTGGCGTGTTTTCATAGCGCTTTCGTGCGGTCAACATTTGGCTAAACGCCGCACATGCTGACCACGTCACCCCGCGTCATCGATTCCGCCGCATCTGGCTGTGGGGCGTATCGCTAACCTACGTTCGGTACCTGCCAGCTGCCCTTGTGCAGATAGCGTCAACACGACGCGAGCCCTCTTTGTCCAAGAGTCCTACTGGAGCCCTCGTAATTGGGCTTTTCAAACCGAGCGCCAGGGTTAACGTGTAAAATAGGCCCTAAGCGCTTTCCCGAGCGACGGTCTGGCGATTCAAAACCGCACACCACACAAAAAGCCCAAAGCCAAACACCCCCATGAACAAAACAGCAACAGGAGACAGCAGGAATGTTGTTTATGGAGGAGATGTGAGCGCAAGGATACCGCGGTGTGTGCGCTGCTGTTGTGCTACCTGCAGCACCGGGAGGGAGGCAGCGACGTAACAAAATGGGTGCGCGCCGGCTTTAAAAAAAGCATGATAGAGTCCCTCTGGCTGTCTTTTCGGGGCGTTGCGTCGATGACGTGTCCTGTGTCACACAACGACCTCCACAAACGACTACGGACCAGATCGGAGAAAAAAGACCTTTCGAGATTCAGAATCTAAAATGTCGGCAGCCAGAGATGACGAGGCTTCATCGTGCAAGGCAACGCCGCTTCTATCAGCCTGCCGATCGCCTCGTACCAGGCCAAAGTCCTACGCTAGAGCGTCATAGGTGATCAGCACGTGCACAGGTCTCGCTAACCCCAAACTCGCACACCCCATGAAACGACACATGGGTGTGTCGCCTGCTGGGCGCTGGGGCCGGAAAGAGAAAAAAGAGCGCGCATATTTTTTTCGATATGACGCCGGGAGCAGCGGGGGCGGCCTTCGTTTGCCCGGAAAATCTTTACCGCTCAGCCTCCGGGGCAGATCTTCAGCGACTGCACGGATACTTCACTGCCTAGTGAGTGAATGTTGCCGCTTTCCCGCCCCAATGGGAATGCAGCGCTGGTGTTGTCTGCTGCCGCCGCAGCCGCCGCCCATACCTCTCTGTCGAGAGAATAACCTCCCCCCCCGCCCTCCGTGTAGCTCTGGAGCGCCTTTCCTCCTTCTACCGGGGCGAATGTTTCTAGCTGCAATGGGCGTCGTCGATTGGCAATGGTTCTTCTCGCTGCGTGTCTCACCTGATGTTGCTACCGGCCTCTCCTGGCGCAGCCCTTATCTCTCTCCCGCAGCGTGCGTGTCCTGCTTTGGTTGCTATTATTTTCATTTTGCGAAGGCCAAAAAAGCCAGGGGGCACGCAGACGAATAACTTATGCCCCCTCCCTAGTTTTTATTTTTTTTTATCGTCACTGTGTGTCTGGGATGACGCATGACGTACGTACCTCGTATTGTTCTTGATCAACGCCGCTCCGTCGCGGCTCGATGGCAAAAGTGCAATAAAAGATGGCAGCCCGCGCACTTAATTATGGGAAACACGGCATAAGAACGTTTGTGTTTTTTTGTTCGCATCCTCTTCTATGCATATACTATGTCTAAACACACACTGCTGCTCACTGTCGGACAGAGAGAGATAGATGGAGAGAGACGTCTCTCCTGCGGCGACACCAAAAAAGGTATGCGTATGTAGACTGCGGTATTCAAGGGCGGCGGGGGGCGTGGCCTCCTGAGACCAAGACAGAGAACCCGAGATGAACAAGCCGGTGAACGCAGCAAGCAGTGTCCCTCCTGTCCTGTTCCTGGTGATAGCCAACATCTCCAAGCGCTGCAACATTCGCTCTCTCATCGCGTCGGCGGTGGCCTTTCAAGCAGAAATTCTCATTGGTGAGAAAGATGGTTGTTGCCAGAGACATTCAGAGATTCCGACACACGTATATGCATGGATCTCCTTCTCTCTAGTATCCATACGTTGGGGTTGCCTCGTGCGTGCCTTGCACTACGGAACTCGATCGAGAAGATGGCGTTGCCAAGTTGTACCTACACACGTCTTCTTGCCAACAAAGATTGATTGATTGTTGGTGCCAACCTCCACAGCAACCACGAGCTGATGAGTCTGTACCCTTTTTTGTCTTGGGCACGGTTATACTACTCTGCTGCTGACCTGGAGCAACTCCTATTTCAGCTTCCCGTGTCTTGTGTTGCGTAGTTTCGATTGTCTGTGAGCCCCGCAGTGTAGTTATGTACTAATTCATGACGGTAGTCTGCAGTGCGATACACCATCTGGTAGGCGCTGCTATAGACTTGAGCTCATGATTCATCCGTTTCGAACGGGGTAGTAAATATGTTTTCTGCGCAGCCGCTGGCCCCTTAAATCAGCAAGTGAGCCATCAGGGTCTTATGGATTGCTACGCGTGCGTGTAGACCTCAGCCCTACACGTGCAGTGGTTGGCCCCCCAAGAAATATACTGCCGGCTTTTCTTGTAGAAGAACCCCCCCCCCCTCCCTCCGCCCGTCTCTCCCTTCCGAGGGGATCGAAAGGATCAGTGAGCGTCAATCAACACCCTACACATGAGATGGAGAAAATAAACATAGTAGTGCAAAGGAGTCATGGTTACTGGAGACGACCGGTTGTACGTGCAGGAGCTTAATCGTGCCCAGCAGCCTGTTGTGCGTTTTCGGACTGTCTGCGTGATTCACCTCCTAATGTAAGCGAAGAAACCATGAGGTAACCCCTCCCCTTCTGCCTCCCACGGCGGATCATATATATGCCAGCTCAGCCCCTCTTTTCCATCCCGCTTGTTTTGTTCACCGATATTCTCCCCGTCCCTCCTTCTTTCCCTCCCTCCCTCCCTCCCTCCCTCCCCCCCTCTCATTTCTCTTCTCGCACACGACGTTCTTCCTCATCAGTCGGCCAGCCGAAGTTCTCCATCGAGACGCACGCTCCGAGAGGCCTCCCCCCCGGGATAACCTTCACGAGGTTTTCGGACCTGCCGTCGTGCCGGGACTACGTGCACTCGAGAGGGGGCACGCTGATTGGCGTCGAGATCGGGGGGGGTGCGAGGAACATCGACGAGGAACCATTCCTGGGAACGTGCGCGTTCATGCCCGGAAACGAGGCAAGTATTAGTTAGTTAGCGCCCGCGATTAA